AATAAAATATTTTGTTAATATCGTAAATAATAAAATAATCACGCACTTGTCCTCTCCTGAAGACAAGGAGAAGGAGAAAAGCCGGTGATAAAGGAAGAAAAAAAAAAAAGAGAATATATAAAAACGCGTCTTGTAATTTCAGGCCTTGTCTGAAGTCCTGCTATGTTTACTGTCCGTGCCAAAACATTGTATTTGTAGTCAACAAAAACAAGCCAAAATCCGTGAAATCACCGCCTTTGACATTTTGATCATCGGTTCCTTGCCATTCTACTGAAACAAGCTTGGCCAGCTAGGGATTATATAAACAACCAGGTAACCAACACTAATCTGCAACCATAATCTCTCTCTTTTTCTGTCTCTTAAATCTTTATCCCATTTCAGATTTTCTAGGGTTTCATTTTTAACTTTTGGGTTTCGAGCTTTAGAGGCTTTTGATTCACATTTCAACTAGTTGGCAACTTAGCGCGTGGTTTTTGTTTTGATGAAACAAGGTTTTTAGCTTTAGAGCGAGCACAGGAAGCTTAGCTAAGCTTAATGGAGGGCAGTGATGAAACTGGTAGTGTCAAGCAACGACCCAATTCAACATTTGGTTCATCATCTTTTTCGGTTCCTAAACCAAACAGCCATTTAGAGATACCCAATTTCAATTCAGCTCAAATGGGTTTGCCTATGCGCCAATCATCCCCAAGTCTGAGTCCTGAGAACAGTAAGAGGCCTGGTATACCTCCTTCACACCCCAATAACCACAATTCAATGCCTTTTTCGCATATCATGAGGCCTCAATCGGGTTCTTGGCAACTGGGTCCGCAGAATTTGAGCTCAGTGCCCTCCCATACAAGATCCTTATCTCAACCTTCGTTTTTCTCACTTAATTCTTTGCCCCCATTGAGCCCTTTGCCTTACCGCGAGCCCTCGTCTTCTTCACTTTCTGACCCAAATTCCGTTGATGTTTCTATGGATGAAACTGTTGTTAATTCTCATGCCCCGTCGCTTCGTTCTCCAGTTACTAGTGACAGCAACGCATTTTGGGCTGGTGATGGCCTTCCCCCTCGTAGAGGCCACAGGCGCTCTAACAGTGATGTCCCATTAGGATTCTCAGCTGTCATTCAGTCTTCACCTCAGCTGATTCCCATTGGGCGTAGAACAAGTTTGGATGGATCAGCTTCTGGAAGAGAAAATTTGGGGATTGGCAAGCCAGTTCAGTTGGTGAAACGAGGATCAAATGGGGATAGGGATGGTAACAAAAATGCTGAGGGAATGGATGAGAGAAAATCAGGGGGAGAGGTTGTGGATGACTTGTTTAATGCATACATGAATTTGGACAACATTGAGAAAATGAACTCATCTGGTAATGAGGATAAGGATTTGGATAGCAGAGCCAGCGGCTCAAAGACAAATGGGGGTGAGAGTAGTGATAATGAAGTGGAAAGTGGTCTAAATGGAAATCGTTACAACGGGCAGAGGCCAGCTTCTGGTTTTCCGAGTGAGAAGAGGGAAGGAGTCAAGAGGACTGCTAGTGGAGAAGTTGTACCAAATGTGCGACACTGTAGGAGCATTTCCATGGATAGTTATATGGAAAATTTGAATTTCGATGATGAACCACTGAAGCCCCTGCCGGCAGGCCAACAATCACCTTCCGCTTCCCTAGATGGTAACTCAGGTAAGTTCAGCATGGAGTTTGGAAGTGGTGAGTTCAATGCAATTGAGCTGAGAAAGATAATGGAAAGTGAGAAACTTGCTGAGATAGCCCAATCAGACCCCAAGCGTGCAAAGAGGTGTTGTGTTTTTAACTTCTATCCTATATCTATTTTTTAATGGATGGCTTGTTAAGTGAATTTTCTCATATGTGATCTATTCATCCAGGATTTTGGCGAACCGTCAGTCTGCTGCGCGTTCTAAGGAGAGGAAGATGCGATACATTGTAGAATTGGAACACAAAGTGCAAACACTGCAGACAGAGGCAACCACTTTGTCTGCTCAGTTTACCAAGTTGCAGGTAGGTATTTATTTGGGGATTTCTGATTCTAAAGTCTAGCTCTTCCCTGTTTGAAATTGAACTTCATTGTATGTTCCCTGACTCTGTTTTATTTGCTTGTGTCCAGAGAGACTCTGTGGGTCTTACTAGTGAGAACAATGAGTTGAAATTTCGTCTTCAAGCTTTGGAGCAACAGGCCCAACTTAAAGATGGTATTATGCCTTTTTCTTCAGCTCTTTATATGTCTGTTGGAAACCACAATTATCGTATGTTCCATTCCATATAAACTAATTTCTGTCGATGATTTCACATGAAAATTTATCAACCAAAACACATGTTGAAAGTTCAGAATGCATACATAATTATATTATTAGCCTTCACTAGGTTTTCTGCTATTGCATTTCTAATTTGGTTGCATATAAAGTTAGGTTTGGCCAAACAGAGGTTCCTTTGTATCTTCCCCTAGCTTATATGATTGATGTTTGAAAAACTAACAATATTGTGGTTAACTTGAAAATAGATCTATTTGAATAACTACTCTTCTTCTTCTTGTGTCTCTACATGTAAATTTAACTTTATCCAGCTATAACCATTCTATCCTCATGTCTGTGATAGTCCACCTCCTTGACTACGGATTTTCATTTCAGTTCTACAAATTCCTGAAAACGTAGAAACCAGTAAATTTTTCAGTTAGTTTTAGCAATTATAACTGTGCTGCTGTATCTTGAGGAAAAATAAAAATGCTGCTGTATCTGTCTGCTTGTGATTTTCATTGTGGAAACATATTTCTACTGATCTTGATGAATGGAAGCAAAGTGAAATTTTATTCCTCCCACTTTGGTAATTATAAATGTTTCATATCAGGTGGAATTCCTAACTGTATAGATATTCCTGTAATCTGTCAATACCAAGTAAAATAAAAACAATATATTCGTTGCATTTTCTAGATAAAGATGCAGAATTTGCATATGAGTATCGAGTATTCTTCCAGGCTTGTGATGAAAGCGGTCTAGGATAGGAGTGGTCAAGCTTAAACATTAAGTGAATAGATCTAACTTAAGACATTAAATCCAAGAGATTCTTCAATGATTTGATGTCTTCACACAATCCTGTAGGACGAAAGTTGATATTTTGATAGGAAGACAGAGGCTACAGTCAAATTTAACTCAGCCCTGGCCCCTGGCTGTTTGAAAGGATTGAGCTTGATTAACACTTGGGTCTCTTCACTCCCTTCCCTTTCTCAAATACTTTGGTGGGTGGAAGTCAGATTTTAGGTCCATAATTTTGTGATAGTTAGATTGCCTAAATTTTTAACCGCGGAGCTTGATTGATTAACACTTTATAAATGCAACTTTTTTAACTATTAAAAAACCCTCTAATTCGTACAGTCATATTTCATTTATGGCTTATTCCTTCGTCTGATGTAGATGGGATCTGGACTGATTTTATCTTTATATTTTCTTTGGTCTTTGATGTTACAGCTTTAAATGAGGCCTTGACTGGAGAAGTCCAGCGGCTAAAGCTTGCTGCTGCAGAGATCGGTGGAGAAGGGCACCTCTCAATTAATCAACAAATGCTCCAACTACAGCATCTCAACCTTTATCAAATGCAACAGCAGCCACAACACCAGTCTCAACAGCACACACAACAGCAGTTCATGCAGCCTCAGCAAAACAGACAACCTTCCCATCAGCAGAATGGCAATGGCAATGCTGCTGCTTCTGCTGCTAAGCACGAGTCAAGCGAATAGGTTGGCCAACACATACGTTGGCTTGTATTGGTTCAGTAGATTATGGGTGACAAAATTTATTTTGAAATGATGTCATATAAATCCATATATATATATATATATATGTCTAAATTTATTGACATAAGTATTATTGTGAAATTTATATAACTTAACCATTTTTTGGTTCATTGGGTTGGTTACTTCTGTTGTATTGAAAGTTTTACTTGGCGAGAATCAAGTCTTGGTTAACTGGTTGTTTGTAATTTTCTAATTTTGTTTCAAATGTGGACTTTGATGTTTAGAACATATACTATATATCTACAAGCTGGAATAACTATAATAAGCGCAATTCAAGTCCAATTGACATTTTTAACTATCAGTTTTCATCTCAGTTACAAATTTCAACAGAAGCAATAATATGAAGATTTTATGATATGTATTTCGTTGAGTTATTTACACTAACATCCCTTCATGTTTTCTACTTTTTCATAAAACTCCCTAAGATTTCAGAAAATTATACGAATACCCCTTGAAGTTTCAAATTATTTTCACAAAACCCCTTTTCGTTGATTGTTTGTCCAAAACATGATGATTTTCATTTTAAAAAACGTGTGCAAGTGACAAAATCAACCTCAATGAGTGTATGTGCAATATTAACCTCAAAGGCTAACTTTTCAATTTCGAGAATTTTTTATATATAAAATCATCTATCTTTGGATGAAAAATCAACGAAAATGAGTTTTGTGAAAACAATTTTAAACCTCAATGGGTGTTTATGTAATTATTGAAACCTCGGGAATTTTATGAAAAATACGAAGAAGTTAGGATTGTTAGAGGTTATTTTAATAATTTCATATGCATACACGAATTTAAACCAACAAATGCGGACCGAAATGGAATTTTACAGATTCGTCGAATTATGTCGGCCGGGGTTTCTAAATTGAAAGCTTAATTCTTTTGTCACATAATTTGTAAGTATTTAGTTAAATCATCGAAACCATGCAAAGCTTCAACTGCTCAATCCAAGAACAGAGGAGTAGTACTAGTAGGTTCATACATAAAGGCCACAGCAACCAACTGCCTGAAAGAATTCTACTGCAATATTAGATTTATTCACAACGAAATATTTAAAAACAGTATTTAAAATAGAAATGAAATTAGGTTAGCCTCACGGGAAACATACGATATAGGAGCCTTGATGAAAACAAAAGCAAAAGCAAAAGTTGCGAAAATGAGCGGATTAAAATACGAATAAATACGAGTAAAAGAGAAAGGCAAGCTGAAGATTTTGAGGAAAGAAAAGAAGCAGCAGAAGAAAATCTAGAGACTATTTTATTATCTACATGGCGTGCGTTCCCTTTTTATTTTATTTTTCTTTCTTTTTAATTAATTAAGCCCTGTTCTCGTAAACCCAACCAAATCCCTCCCTTTTAATATTTTCCTTTCCCATTTTGAATTAGGGTTCCATTCCTCATCCATTTCTTCCTCCGTTCCTCCACACCCCAAAACCCTATGCCGTTCCCGATCTCTTTAAACTAGCCGTTGCCTCCGTTTCCCGCCAATCTCACCTTCATCCCAGCCGTTCATTATTCACCTTTTGAAAACTAGCCGTTAGATCCACCGCTTCTGGAGCCATTCCGCTGTATATTTTCCTTATTGAAGTCTTGACCGTCGGCTTTGCCGGATTTTGACCTGCAATGTCTGCGGTCGAAGTGGAGAAGAAGGTCGAGGAGGAGGAGAGTAAGAATGTAGAGAAATCGGGAGAGCTCTTGTTCTGTGGCGGTACGTCTTGGGATGTCATTGGTCGGCGCAAAGGCGCCGTCGAAGGCAACTTGATTTCTCCCACGCGCCTTCGTCCTCTCGTCGGCATCGATATCCGTTTTGTAGCCTCGGGTTGCTGTGAGTTTCCTTCTCACTGCTTGTTTAACGCAGTTTGAATTTTTTTTTTTGTGGTGAATGTGATAATGATTGATGGTTTTTATTGGAATTGATTGTTTTGGTTGTGTAAATGTTGGCTCAGCTTCCTGCCATTGTGTGGCATTGGATGTGGAAGGGCGTTGCTATACTTGGGGACGCAATGAGGCATGATCACACTCTACTTTTGGTTTCTTTGTTTATGCTTGTGGTCTATTTCTTTTGTATTTAAGTATGAAGTTATGTTTGCAGAAGGGGCAGCTGGGTCACGGAGATTCAATTCAGCGTGATAGGCCGACTGTAGTGTCTGAACTTTCAAAGTATGTTGCTTCTCTGATGTTGAACGCAGTTGTATTCTTGATAAGATTAGTTAAGAATCAGTGTTATAGCAATGAAATATTTTGATGTTGGTGCCCCATTGTGAATCTTTGAGTTCATCATCTTTGGAGAACTCTTCAATAATTTTTAAGAAATTCTCTATTGCAGGCATAAAGTTGTTAGAGCTGCATCAGGGAGGAGTCATTCTGTAGTGATTACTGAGGATGGGTATTCTTTCGCCTTTGGCTGGAATAAGCATGGACAGCTGGGTTCCGGTTCAGCAAAAAATGGTAGGTTCTGCTTTGTAAAGTTGGTCTGATGAAATTCTAGGCACTAGCAATGAGAATCTGATGACAATTAGTTTTCTGGGATTCTTAATTGAATAATGCTTCACTAATTAAATACATCCATATTCCCTTAGTTTTCGTGACGTTATATTATCTGGAACCCACTATCTAGAAGAGTATGTTTTCTGCTCTCTATGTGGACATTATACGATGCCAATAGAAGGGCCAAGTTTACTTTAAAACTTGGTATTGAGTGAGTTCAGTTGAGTCTTGGATTAATCCCACGTGTTCTGGTTGTAGAAATTGTTGTAATTTCTAGTATTCAAGTCAAATTTCCGCTGAGAAATAAACAGCAAAGTGATCCTTTTTAACACACTATTCCTTTTTCATGGCTCTTAATTGTACTTAGCATATTTTGTAAATCTTTGACAGTACATATGTGTATAACTGACAGCCTTTTGGTTACATACTTGCTTTGTGTTCTGTAGAAATTGAGAAATCCCCTGTTCGCTGTCAAGTGTCTGATGTTAAAAATACAGCTTGTGGGGCTGACTTCACTGTGTGGTTATCTTGTGTTGAAGGAGCTTCTATACTGTATGGTCTGCAGATATGCTCGAGTTTCTTGAACTTTCGGTCAATTGCTTAATTGTCTTGGTTCTCAATTTGTTATGATTACTGGCTGAATTACAAATGTTTCTTGGTTTCCAGAACTGCAGGTCTTCCACAGTATGGGCAACTTGGGCATGGTACAGATAATGAGGTATGTTTTAGGGTAGGTTAAATAGGTGTTTTTTGTACATTTCTTTACACCTGAATATCTTTGGACAATGTGGCCTTTACTGGTAATGGAATGCCCTGGCAGTTGTTTATGAAATTAAGCTTGAGATAAATTATGGATGTCCTTGCAGTATAATACTAAAGACAGCTCAGTGAGGCTTGCGTATGAAGCCCAGCCACGCCCTAAAGCAATAACTTCTCTGGCTGGGGAAACCATTGTGAAAGTTGCATGCGGAACAAATCATACAGGTTATCACAATGCCTGCCCTCTCTCGCTTCCCCCTTCCCTCTGATTGCATGTGTGTGTGTTTTCTGCCTGCAATATGTGTTGTTATCGTTTGCTTAATTCTTTTATTTGGATTGGGAATACAGTGGCAGTGGATGCAAATGGCCATGTTTATACGTAAGGGCTTTTATATGGCATTACCTTTGTCTTGCTTCCAAATATTTTGATATTTGACTGTCTGTCTAACTTGCAATAATTTACGATGAAACTCAGGTGGGGCTTTGGTGGTTATGGAAGGTCGGTACTCACTATTCATTCCCAAGCATTTGTTTTTGTTTGTTTTAAATTTTTAGAAGTGGATGAATGTTTCTTATGAATCTGCCTATTTTAATCATCTTTGTTGTCATTTTTAATTTTGATCTTCTTACCCTGCATATGACTCTGGAGTGCTGTTTATAGGCTTGGACATAGGGAGCAGAAGGATGAATGGGCTCCTCGTCGTGTTGATGTTTTCCAAAGGCAAAATCTTCTGCCTCCTGATGCAGTTATATCAGCTGGTTCTGTGAACTCTGCATGTACTGCAGGTACCCAATTCATGTGTTACCAAGGCTCTTTCTCTCACTTGTTCTTGCTTTGGTTGCTATACCATTGTTCACACACCTTATTAGATGACCATTCTTATATTCTCTCATAAATTCTTATATTTTCATGAGACGTTTCTTCATGTCAATTTTTGCTCACATGTTTGCTTGCATAATTGGGTTTTTGTATTATTCGCGGTTTTCAAATTCTCTTACCTGCCTCTCTAACAGATTTTTTCTGTTTAGAAGTGGGAAGCTTATAAGCATTAAGCATAGGCTTTACGCTTTGCATAGTCACATTTGGAAGGTCATGGTACCTTACCGCATGTCAAACACCAAAACACATTTATAATTTAAATTGAAGTTAATGGAGGAGCACTTTTTCTCTTTATCAAGAGTTGATAATTGATGATTGATCTTTGTGATCATAGTAACTGCTATAATTTTTATATTTCACTACAGCCAATCACTTTTACGATCTGGTGTTCCTCCTGATCGTCTATATTCTTTTTTCCAGGTGGAGGGCAGTTGTATATGTGGGGTAAAATTAAGACCACGGGTGATGACTGGATGTATCCTAAACCACTCATGGATTTAAGGTTTGGCTCTCATCATTAATCATCTTTAATTAGTAATGCTTTTCCTGCTTACTGTAGAAGCTTCGACTCTTCTATATCTAATGCTTGTTATTTCTGTGATATTTAATTATAATTTATATCTCCTGCCTGTCATTGTTTTCGGGGGAGGGAAAGGAAACTGTTTAGAGTTAGCTTGGAAGTTGTTCCTTTTCTCTTGCATTATCTGTTCAACTTTGATTTTAATTTTTTTGTCGGGATTCATAAAAACTAAAGTTTTTGGTTCTATTTGTAACTAATGATGTGACATAATTGCTTAGAAATTTTTTCTCATCTTTGTTGACAGTGGCTGGAATTTGCGTTGCATGGATTCAGGCAATATGCACCATTTTGTTGGTGCTGATTCCTCCTGCATAAGTTGGGGTCATGCTCAGTATGGAGAACTGGGATATGGCCCTAATGGACAGAAGTATGTGATGGGTCATGATATGATATATTTATTTGTTTTGAGGTATCTTTTCCCCTTCTTAATCATTGGTTTTTTGTTTTGGCTGCTTAGGTCTTCTGCAGTACCCAAAAAAGTGGAAATTCTTGACGGTATGCATGTTATGAGGTGTGTATTTGTTTTTGTATTGTCTTGTCTACATTCTTAATGTACCATAAGCTTCAATTACAAGTTCTGTGCATAATGATGGAGGATTCTACAATGTAGCGTTGCATGTGGTATGGGCCATTCCATGGTTATTGTTGATAGAACAAATGTTGGAGACCGACTTGATCAGGTAACTCAAAATTGGTCGTCTTTTCTTCTTTTTGTTTAATGTGGGATTCCAGTATCTTGAATCCCAGTTATATGCAGAATGTAGAACTAATTACGATTGAATTCCATCTCCATCTTGTTTAAGTTTAATGCAAGGCTGCTCTCTTACTTATATCTTTTTGGCAGCTTGATGTATATGATGGCAAAGCTTCTGTTGAAGGTATGCTGACTTTAGTGGTTGCAATGTGAATATTTCATTCATACTTGACCAGTTGGTCCTAGAAGAGTTGGTCCAAACTCAGTGAAGCTGTAAAAGTTAAACCTTGTTTCTTGATTTGTTGCATTAATCTTGTTGCAGGGAGTGAGGAACCTGTGAGTGGCCCTCCAGTTTCTAAGCAAACTCCTAAAAAGGGTGCTTCTAAGGCAACTCAGAATTCCAAGAGGAAGAAGTCAAAAGATTCTTCCGATTCGGAAGATGAAGACGACAATGATGGCGACAGTGAGGACGAAGACAGTGATGAAAGTGATGAACAGGTCAATGGCAGGACAGAACCTAAAAGGCAACGGGGAGGGAAGGCTTCTGGTAGAGGTCGAGGCAATGGTGCTAAAAAGGCAGCACCAGCAGAGGGAAAAGGCGCTGGGCGTGGACGGGGCCGCCCTCCTTCCGCAAATAAAAGCCCAAAGCCCGCACAGGGGAAGACTGGTACGGGTAAGAGAGGAAGGCCTCGCAAGTCATAAGTTGTATTCTCGCAGTGGGCCCAGTCAAAACCGGAAATTTTGTTCTCTCAATGTAGAGAAGTGTACTTTTATTGCCATGTGGCGCGCTCTTTATTTGGCGCCACTTTCAATTGTTTAAATGTTTTTTTTTTAAATTGTTTGCATTCACTTCAAATATTATGTGATTTAACTGATTGAAAACTCTGGACTGAAACAAACACTCTGCTTTTTTAACATCCGGCTGAAATGAAAGAATGTGAGTGATGTATCTTGTACCAAATTTGTATTTGATTGACACTTTCTCTAATCTTGTTCTTCTTGTGCTGTGTTTTGTTTAACTAAATGGCTTATCAAGTGTAAATAAAATTTCTTTTGAAAAATAGGGCTTAATCAGGACGAAGATCAAAATGGGCCATCTGTGAATTTGGAGAAAAACTTTCCTGGCACGGGAATACCAGGTCAGAAAACCCATTTCATATCCAAATCCAGTGCGATTGTGCCATCTGTCCAATGCCGGTGCAAAGCAAAGTTCCCCTTTTTATTTAATATATTCTTTTCCCCAAGAGCAAACCTCACGGCTGTCGCTGCAAGATTGAAACCACTTAAGAAAAATCCAAGAATTCTTCTCCATCTTCCATGATACTCAAATTTTCAAGTTTACCAAAATTCATTTGAATGAACATAAAAATTCAAATCCAAGCAAAATCCCCAAACTTACACTTGGATTTCCCCAAACAAAACTTAATTCAAGTTTCCGTCTAATTTCACGTCAACAAGAAACCCATGGAAGAACTTTCATTTTAATCATTGTCGACCTGCCGGTTTGCATGACCTTCTTGATGCATCCATGGAAGCAACAGTGAGAAACAACTGGTTTCTCTGGGGTTCTTTGTTTGAATTTGTTGAATTCGAGTGGGAGAGAACGAAAAACTTGGACCTTTTCTTGAACAGTTTCAGTCGATCTTACAGTGGAAGGCCGGATTCTGCGAGTGTATGTGTATGAGGAGAGAAAATGAAAAAACTGGGCTTTGCTTTGAACCAGCAGGAGAGAGATGGCATTGGGAAGATTGGGCAGGTGGCACAATCTTATTGGATTGGGATATGAAATGGGTTTTCTGACCTGGCATAGGAAAGTTTTTGTCATGAAAATTGGGGCTAATTATTTTGACACGTCATGGATAACGGCAGTCTGTGGTGATGAGCTTCTAGTCTAATAATGTTTTGGCTTAGAATTTTGAGTGGAGAGGGGAGGGACCATAAAGCACTCATGTTTGCTTGTAAAGTCAAGGAATAGGAAAGCTGTGAGCCCCCAAGCATCAATAGCTTTCAACTTATTGCAGAATACTAAATACTGACCTCACTCACTCCATATGTTACAAAGCTTGTTGGGCATGGATTAAAGCTAGACGAGCCTAACAGGCCCCATATTTCATAATCATTGCAACTTTATGTCCATATAAGAGGAAACACATGATGAATAGTTGAGACCCAAGAAACCCTCAAGATCCCACTCTTTTAAGCTATGTGAATTATCTAAGGCCAAAATCGATAGACGTGGTTAGGCCACAAAGAGCTTGTAGCTCAAGTAATTAAGAGTAGTTATCCATACACTCCTAATATCACTTGTATAAGAAAGAAAAAAAAAAGATAGACAATCAGTAAGCATGCCCAAGGAAGGAAAGCTCATGGCTTCGACAGTCAGTCCACTAGACCTGTATATGTATAATTATAAACAATTTCAATCATATCCCCGTCGGCCATGTGACCAAGGGCTCCACCAGCCTTTCTCAATAGAGGAGAGGAGAGGACCACGTGGTGGAGAGTCATATGTGCCGTTGTACCTAAAAATGGGTACAAAAGCTGATTGCTGAAATAATTCCCCACCCAAGATTAAAACGATGGTTTAATGCCTAAATGGGTATGATGCCTCAGCCTTTCTGATTGCGACTCCTAGACTTACTCTAAATCTTAATTTATGGGTAAACGTTGTTAAGCCATCAAAAACAATAATTTTTAAGTGGGTTGGTGCCATTTATGTACATCTCAATGGTAAAATAGATAAGGGGGATAGAGACCACACAACTAATAAACAATTATTGAATCTTACGTGTTTTAGCATGGATTAGGATTTGTTTTCAATGATCACACTTGGATTGGATTACCAAATTTGCTTTTTAAAACTTTACATAATTTTTACAGGACGACAAAGACTGTCATTTTTGGAATCCAATTTTTTTTTTAAACGTACGGCGAATCGTTTGGGTTGGAGCAGAGCAGAGCAGGTCGTCTAACCGTCCAACCACCAAAATCGGAGGGGTAGCAAGCGAGAAGAGCTTTCTTAGTAAATGCCTTGGTGGGGCCGCACATGACAGCTTCATGGTAATGGCAACCCATTCGCAGCTGCTGAAACATGGCATATGCCTTGTGGCAAAGCATAATATCATTGTGGATGGATACATACAGTATGCAACCCAGACTCCCATGTGCTCACACGTGTCAATTAGGTGGACAACCACGTGGCACGTGAGGACAAAAAAAGCTGTCAATAATAGTTGTTGGTCGACTCGTCACTGGTGTGGTGTGGTTACTTACTGGTTGGAAATGGGAACTGGAACCCAATAGGCCAACATTATTTGTCAAACAAAACATACAAAACAAATACAAGACAAGCCTCCGTTTTCATTTATTCTTCTTCTTCTACTCTCTAATCCTCACAGGAAAGCCACTGTCGGGCCCACCCACAGCCCACCGTCTGATTTATCATTCTTATTTCTCAATCGTCACGTTATTCTCGTGATAAGCTGATTTTTGTCGGGCCCATGTGTTAGGTTTGAATTTTCTAAGCATACGAAATTTTGTGCAATTTGCCTAATCAAAGCTCATCTGATCTGGATTCTGGTGTACTGAAACATTATCGGCACATCACATGATATTAGAGACCAGTGGAGTGGACCACTTCCAAGTAAGTATTGATTTATGTTTAATTTATACTGGCAAGTAGCTTATTTATACAAATTAATTTTTAGTATAGTCTTTACTTAATTAACAGAGATTTTAGATTTAACTCATGTGAATACAAAAAGAATTCTATCTGAATTAAACACTAACAAAACATACTACAAACATGAATCTTTTTTAAAATTTTATATGACATATTTATCCAACTTGTACTTACGTGATCAATAACATCTATGATTTTTTCTTTACGAATTATTAATTTCCTACCTTATTTGAAGAAAATTGCATAAACTTGTGACACTTGCACTAAAATTACCCCATCGTTATCATAGTTAGAGGTGGGTTGTAATAGAGAAAACTATAATTAGGGGTGGGCCAAGTAACAAAGCAGGAGTGCGGGTAAACAAACAAAACCGTCATTAGCACAAAAACAAATGCACTGAATCTAACGTTAACTTTTCCCTAATCCGATTTAGCTTCGACATTTACCCGCTAAACGCAATTTCTCGTGACAATCGGCTGGACTGGTGGATAAGATATTTTGATTTTCCAGTTTTCTTTAAATATTATAAAATAATTAAAAGTTGGACGTCTGACAGTTTTTCTTTTTCTTTTTCTTTTTAAATGATTTGTTTACCTCGTCCTCTTTCAACGGACAGGCGTATTGTGCAACGGACCTGATAAATGGCGGACTCCACATAAGAATTTAGCCGGATTTAAGGAGTGTGTTGAGGTCCGTGTTCTTAAGCTCATTTGTCACAACTTGCAACACCGCACCAACATAGGCGGTTTTGTCTCTTGAGAGAAAGAGTGTGTCTGTGTTTGTGTTTGTGTGTGTGTGTTTAAGAGAGAGAAAGTGAGGGGGTCTGGGTGTGGGTGAGAAGTGAAAAACAATGGGGAAATCTACCTCTTGCTTCAAAATTATCACATGTGGTAACGATTCAGAGGACAAAGACGATCTCGAAGCTCCTGAGGTATCTGATTGGTTCACAGTTTCTGCATTTTGGTTTTCTTTGACTTTCTATTTTTGGCTTGTTTCCGTTGGTCCAATTTTGTTGGGTTCTTCTGTGCTCTTTTGATTTGCATTTCTTTAATTTGTGATTGTGAGGGCTGAGATTAGATTGTTTTGTTTACTTTGTTGATTTGGTTAAAGAACCTATGAGATGCTGTGGAGCGTTACTAATAAACCGCTAATGATCTGTTTGGAAGCTCAGAAAAGAAAAAAAAGCTGTACTAAGGATAAAAGAGTTTCCTAAACTAAGATCTGACCAAATCTAGGATCTGCATTTAACTGGATTTCTATTCTATACAATCCTAGCATTGAGTGGACATGCTTATTAGATTAGGAATGGAGATACTTCTAATATGTGATTTTCATATCATGAAAAGAGTGAAATAAGGATAACCAAATGGTTTATATTTGAAGAGTGTGTAACTTTTGCTTATATAATGTAATTAGGCTAAATGCATTCGTAAATTTTCTGAAACCCATGTAACATGCAAGAACATTTGGTTGATCATAACTGCCATCTGCATTTCCTAATAACTGTCAACTTTTGATCTCATGGTTGGCTGATATATGATAATAGGCGTAGATTTTTCCCTTGCGATTCATTTAAAATGCTTATTGCATGCACGTAGTTGCTTCTAAGAGCACTTTGTTCTTTGTGTGTGCTGTATTGATCAATGTTCTTTACATTTCATTCTAGAGCAAGGGTTCAAGTGACAAACGTGGATGGAGTTTCCGGAAGAGGTCTGCACGGCATCGAGTGCTAAGCAACACTGTGATAACAGAAACCCCCGCTTCTGGACATAAGGAGATCCCAGAATCTGCCACTCTTAATTTCCAACCACCAGCTAGCACTACTGTGCCAGAGAAAATATCTGTAATACATTGCAGTGACGTGAAACCCCAGTTGTTAACTCCTGAGAACCCAAAAGTATCTGAGACTGAACCAAAAGTATCCGAGACTGAAGTGAAAGTATCAGAAACTGAAAATACCGCAGAAGATCAAAGTGCAGTTGAGTGCAAACTGGATGAGTCTGTTGTTATTGTTGTCCAGACTGCTGTCAGAGGATTATTGGTAATTTCTCTTTTGGATAGACATGAATTTTGAGTTTCTAGTTAGTAGCATTCCAACTAATGTTTTCATTGAAATATTTGCCAGGCTCAGAGAGCATTTCTGGAGCTTAAGAATGTCGTTAAGCTGCAAGCTGCTGTTCGTGGGCATTTGGTCCGTAGGCATGCTGTGGGAACTCTACGATGTGTCCAAGCCCTTGTGAAAATGCAAGCTTTTGTTCGTGCTCGCCATGCTCGTCAGCTGCATCGAGGTGGGGAGCATGAGAAGGATAACCATAATTCTAAGATATTGGTAATGCTACTCAACTAAAATTAGTATAATCTGATCTCTAAAGGGTCATTATCCAAATCTATTCTTGCCTTCAGTAATCTTGTTCATAATAGTTTGATGGTAGTTTGTATGGTGGCTAACACCTCTGTCAACGATGGTCAAGCCAATAGGAACAACTCCAAATAACAGCAGTGCATAATTTGTCATGTTATGTAATCCAAATGTCTAGGCACCATTTGAGATGGAGATAGCCTTTCTTCCAAAAACTCATGTTGATTCAACTTTTGAAGGAAAGGTCATGGTTAGTTTATCACTTTGAGATGCTACTGTATTGTACACAATTCATACGTCCAGGCACCATTTGAGATAGATCTCTACCAGATCAAATGTTGTATTCACCTTCTCAAAGAAAGTCATAACTAGTTATGTGAACTACAAGAAAAGCTCAGCTGATTATATAATGAAGCATTGTTTTAAAAGTTCTTTGGCATTGGGAGGTTAGTTTAATCGCATTTGAATGTTAAAGTTTTGCCTTGGTGTATGATATTTTACCAGGACTTGCATTGGTTTATTTTTGCAATTGTGTTCATAACTTAATTTTTTATTGCTATTATCAGTGGTTTCTGTCACAATGGCTGTGGAAATGTTCTTTGAGACAACTTATTAGTGTTGTTAATTGTTCCTGACAAATCTTCCTGAACATTTTTCATGTTTCAGGAGAAGGAAAATTTGGTAGCCAAATCAAATATGACTTACACTTCAATTGAAAAGCTACTTAGCAATAGGTTTGCCCGCCAGGTATACTAGACAACTTTCTGTCCTGTGTTTTGTAACTGCAGTGCAGTTTAATTTATCTTTCATTCGAATATCTGAACTAAACTGATCTTTTTTGAAATTAAAGTTGTTGGAATCATCACCGAAGACCAAACCTATTCATGTCAAGTGCGATTCTTCTAAGCCCGATTCTTCTTGGAAATGGCTGGAGAGGTGGTCATCAGTCTCATCAGTTGATACTCCAGAGTCAAAAAAAGTAGTGCCAGAAATAGAGCAACAGGAAAGAGAAAAGGAAGAAAATTCTGAGTCCCCTCTGGAATCTAAAATTCAAGATGATGTTCTTTGTGAGATATCAGACTCAAAGTCTAGCATCAACGAATCGATTTTGCCATCCGAAAGTGAAGAGAATCTGATTATCTACGATGCTGAAAACTTGAACTTTCAGGCAAGCCATTCTACCTCTTATTCTGTACGAGGTACTATTGAGCAGCCTCGGGTGGAGAACCCCAGTACATCTGATGTGAAAGAGATCTCAGCAGAGATAAGTTTTCTCCCAAATCAAAGTATGCAACCAGATGCAGATTCTCAAATGGAGCTCAAGTCTTTATCTGGGAAGCCTGGAATGGAATTTGAACAACCTAAACGTTCTATGAAAAGATTAGCCTCAGAACAACTAGAAACTGAAGGGAAGAAATCTGTATTTGGATCCAGGAAGTTGAGTAATCCTGCATTTGTTGCTGCTCAGTCGAAATTTGAAGTGCTGAGTACAACAACCAATTCAGGTAGATCGATCAGTCCATCCCATCAAGATGATGCTGCAGTTGATTTACAGAGGGACACATTCTCAGCTGGGGTGGATACTGAAGTCAGGGCAAAGGAACTCAGCGTGGCAGAAAATCCAGTCATCCATGGATCAAGGGTTCAAGTTGGTGGATCTGAGTGTGGCACTGAAATCTCTATTTCTTCCACTCTTGATTCACCTGATAGATCTGATGTTGGAGCTATGGAGCATGAACATGAAACCAAAGTTTCAGTTGATGGGATTTGCAATCCTAACACTGATGTAGATGTCCAAGCCAGAGATGTGCCCACTATCCCATTCTCCAACTTATCTGACCCAGTCTTGGATCAGCCAGAAAAACTTGATGTTGTTAATGGTGAGCCCATAAATTCTGTGGTTGCTATGGAGTCCCCAAAAATAGAGTCTGAGCCAGAGAGAACGTCTGATCTGCAGAGAGAACAGAAATACAGTCTGAGCCAGAGAGAACGTCTGATCTGCAGAGAGAACAGAACACTGATGCTGGTATTCAAGCATATGGGTCATCCCCAGAAGCTTCTCCAAGAAGTCATTTAACTGTTCCAGAATCCCAAGGGACACCTTCTAGTCTGATATCAGTGAAAGCTAAAAGGAGTAAAGCTGATAAGAGTGGCTCCAACCAAAAACGTAGGTCTGGGTCTGCAGGAAAGAAATCTCCCTCTAATCCAAATCATGATTCTGGATCAAGTAAAGATCAGAAAAATGGGAAGAGACGAAATTCATTTGGTTCAGCCCGACCTGTGGAACACGGTGATCAAGAACCAAGAGATAGCAGCAGTAATAGTTCTATCCCACATTTCATGCAAGCAACAGAATCTGCTAGAGCAAAGCTTCAAGCAAATACCTCCCCTAGATCAAGTCCAGATGTGCAAGACAGAGACATTTACATCAAGAAACGACATTCCTTACCTGGTGCAAATGGAAGGCAGGGGTCTCCGCGCATCCAGCGGTCAATGTCTCAAGCACAGCAGGGTGCAAAGGGAAATGGTATGCATGCTTTTCCGATGATAACAGTTTGTGCATCCTTAGCATGCCTATTTTCTGTCAACAAAATTGTCCGTAACGTATAGAATTACTTTTGTCAGAGTAGTTGGCAATAATTCCATGTTAGGTAGAGTCTTTTGCACTCCTACATGATTTCTCACCTTGAGTTTTGTTTCTTTCAGAGAGAAAATGGAACAGGTGAAGAGTTGAAGGAATCAGACATCTCAAAGACAACGGTGGCAGATGACCAGTTCTTAACAGGAAATTTGGAGTCTGTTGATTACATGACTGGTAGCTACTTAAGATTGTAACTAGCTTTTTTCCACTTCGATAGCAACTTAGTTAACCCACTCTAGTTATTGGGGTTTTTTTTTTCTTTCTATAAATATAAGAAAGTGAGCGACTTTTTCATGTACATTTTTTTTTTGCTGCTATAATTGTTTTCTGTAACTTCTTCCAAATGGTATAATCTGCGTGTGATATTATTTGGGTCTAGTACAGATGCTTTGGCTTGGTTATCCAAAGTTTGAGGCAAGTATAAGGTAAAAGCTTTTGAAAGCTTTTTGCCAGGTGTGGTGTTATTGTAATAAAACTGAATTTTCTTTATTTCTTTGTTTGCATTATTTCGGAATATTATCACGATTTTCCAAATCCATTTCTACACATATCCTAGGTGGAATTGAGAGAAATATTGTTAACGTCGTGAAACCGTTAACTCAATAACGGTCTATCAAACTCATTGTAGAATTTTGTCAAAAGCAAATCGCTTAAATCTATTGAATTGAGGTTACAAAAGTCAATAACATTTTGTGAACTATGTAAGAACAAAAAGCTTTACGAAGACCTATGAATTTCCTTATCCCACCCGATTTAATTGTTCTCCCAGAAATTTAATTTTACCCCCTAATTGCTTCTGCTGGCTGGTGGACCATTATGAAATTTATATTTGTTGGGGACTTGATACGTATTGTACCGTATGATACGATACGGGTAGCTCCACTCGCATCATCATTTAGCATAGAGTAATCCAATGCGATTCAATCCTAGTTTATAATCCAATCCAATTTATTTTTCAGTAAGGGAACACAAAGATTGATGAGTTTGCACGTGTTTGTTTATATAGGCGGATGCATATACTAGGTGGTGAATGAATAAAATTTGCTTGAGCAAGCCTGCCAAAGTAATGTAGCTCTCCCAATTTATAAAATTTGGATTTCTTGGGACCGTTTTGGGCCGAGCTAGCTTCCCTTGTTTCTTCTAGTTTCTGTCTTGCGGGGCGGGCTCTGCTTCTCCTTGTCGTACGAGTACAACACCAACACTGCAACTGCAAAGCATCATTCTCGTACTCAAGGCTGTGGTCAAAAAATCTTAGCCCACCCGAAACCTAGTTTAAAAGAAGATACAAAAAACCCCACTTCGCATTATCAGCGCGTGAGAGGCATGTTCGCAACAGACAGAAATATCCGCAACTCCACGCGCTCATTTAAATAACAAAAACCGAAAAGTGGTAAAATAACCCCAAAAAAAATAAAATAAAATGAGGATAATAAAAGGAGAGATATATAGAAAAACGGCGAAGGCCAAAACCAGAGGGATTATAGGGTTTCATTTTGATTACTTTGTGGCATCGTAGAGATTGCGATCAGCGTTCGCGAACACAGAGTCGCTGCAATTGGGATCTCGTCCTAAAACCTGCACAATTAGGTTAGGTTAGGTTAGGTTAGGGTTAAGTCATAAAAGGGCTTTGAGGCTGTGACCACACAGTAAGACTAGGGTTTCGAATCTGAGAGCAGTAGTGGTTTACCTTTTGATCGGACCCAAATTGATTGCTCAATTTGAACCCGTAACTAATACTGGGAATCGAGGCAGGAAAAGAAGGTTTCTTGATATTTTATTTAATATGCGGGGATCGCACAAACTCAAAAGGGTTTCTTGGGCTTCAGATGTTAATCTTTGTCAGGTAAAAATTGCATTCAGTGACCAAATCTAATAATCCATTCAGTAGTTTGTGTTTGCTAAATGGAAAATGAACCCAACAAATCATCTATGTGAACTGAACTTCTAAAAATCGTGCCTTTTTGTTTAATATGTATTTATATTAATTGGTTTGCTATGATGTATTCTTCCCTTTTCCGCACTTTGGTTTATCATGTTACTCTGAAGCATAGATATTGAATTTTTGATATGGGTCCGGCCTCTGATTTCAGGATTTTCTGGAACACATTGCATCATTTCAAATGGTCCAGTCTATACTTTCATTCATTTGATATTGTTCAGTCTATACTCTCGATGTCATATGACAAAGAAATATAAAAAAGGAAAGCCTTTTCTGAAATACTAGAACTGGAACTGGTTTCAAATGATATGCAAACTACAAATTTTGAATGAATTGTTCTAGTGGTATTTTTTTCCTTGAAGCAATTACTTTTGTGTTCGGTAGCCAATCAATATAAAGCAAAATAGATTAATGTTCGAATATGTAGCCTGTATCATTAAGAGTTAGTATATGCTTATTTTTTAAGCTTATAAATATATTCATAAAAAGGAGAACTTGAGGTGATGAAACAAGGTTAGCCCTTTTCACTTGATCTCCTTTCTATCTTTCCATAAAGCTTATTGTCTTAAATTTGGGGTTGTGTCGATGAATTAATCAATTGGCACAGTGCTAAAATGAATTGGATCACTTAACATATCTTTAGAGGAAGAATGAACATTGATCTTAGTCACTAGATTGTTGCAGCTATCAATCATTCTTTGAGAAAAAAGTGACTTGAAGGTTTGAAATTTTAGCAACTCTTGAAGAAGAATCTAACTATACGTGAGGTTAGATACAAATGCATTCTTATCTGCAAAATAACAGCAGTGAAACTATCTCTGAAGACTTCTTGAAGATAGTGGCCCTTTCTCTAATTTAAAAAGAAGTGAATATGAAATGAGGATTAAAATCAAGATACATGAATGCAAAAATCACAAATTAAAAGTTTGAAGCAGCTTTCAGGAACTATATAAGGTTATTCTGCACTGGTGGTAACTGATCACTGGAGAAGTGTTCTCATTCCCTGTTGAAAGGTTTTACAAGAACGAGTTCTACTAGAACAATAAAATGGCAGGATGATATGCGGTTAAAGTAGTGACAATACCATATAATAGAATATGATTTGTAGTTTCATAATGTTGGAGCTTAATGGCATGAAGATTATCGTAAACCTGGTCATGGTGTGTACTTTTTTGCTTTACTTTGTTTTTTAATAGCCTTATTGATTCTATGGTTTAGTTTTTATTGGAAGTGGCATTAACCTGATTTTCTTGTGGGTATCCCGATGTCATACTTTTTGTCAAGCTCTTTGTGATTGGAATGCATTAAAATACTGTGAACACTTCTGCATTTCTCTTTTTGAATTATTTGCCTTGGTAGTCTGTGCTGTAGTTGTGTCCGTTAATGGATTGTCTTGGTGTCATAAAATTTACTTTTTATTTGGTGTTTTCTAGTTTGTTTTATGTTTTTTTTTACATTGCTGTTAAATGCTTGCGAGTGTCATAATTTAGAAAAGGATCTTGTGTTTGGGAAAGGTTGAATCATTAGGTTATTTATGTTTAAAATTTCTTTGGTTCTATTCTTACAAAAGTTTAATGTGCCTTTGCATCAGAATGGAGTTAAGCAACTCAGAAGTGCGTGCTTTGTTATCTCTTTCCTTCTAAAGTTGCTCCTTTTCTTTTTGTTTGAAGAGGAGAATAAGCCCAAGACTTGAGCCACTTCCAAGGTGGGAGGGCCAAATCATAAAGGATTACTTCCACATTCTCTGCTGGGACAGGCAAAATTTCCAAAGCAAAACGTCGTTGGGGTCTTGGTTGGCCATCCAATTAGTATGAATATCACCTCCTAGAGTGTGTGATATGTATGCATCTGTAACCTTGAGAGGATACAAGTTTTTGTGTACAGCCCTTAGTTATGTGATGTTGTAATTGAGAGGTGCAGGGTCTGGCTTGAGACTTAAAAGGAAATAGCTTGGACATAGGATATAATCTTCAGCATTGCCAATATGCAAAAAAGAGTCTCAAAAACCTGGTTTGAAAAGTGTCAATCCTCTCTCAGCATGTCCATTTCTCTTTTTCCTTAACTGGATCACCATCTAATATTTACCTTTTTGAAGAGACCTCTAGCTCATCTACTATTGTATTTATATCATGGAGGGGAGGTTTTCAAAAGTAGTCTGGTGTGAGCCCTATGCTTGGCCATGGAATATCTGCATTATGTTGGCAAGGAACTGGGCATGCAGATTTTTGTTTTTGGTTTCTGTCCAGAGAGACTAAATGTCATGAGAGAAATGAAGATGCAATGAACTGTCTTCCTTAGAAAAGATGGGGATCTAAACCAATTGTCTAGAGATTGGGACGAAAAGATTGCTTGTTGCTCCTTTTTCCTTTTTTTTTCCTTTGTCTTTTTTGGTAGTTGGGGTTGGGGTTCAACCTTCAAGTAAATGATTTAGTCAAACATCACTCACGAACCATCAAACTACATTCAGAGAGGATCCCTATCACTTTGACACAGCATTAACAGTTTCTATTTGAAACTGTCTAGACAGTAACTTTGACCTGTTCAACAGAGGGGCTTACGGCAATGTGTCTTCCACTTCTTTACTGCTAAGTTGTTGTTTGATTGTTTGTTGAACTTTCTTATATTAGAGTGCATCAAAATTTGTTGGTCTTCTCTTGTTTCCTAAATCTGAAATGGAGTGTGTATATCATTGGCCTAATATTAGTTTTGCAAAATCTTCCATCCTAAATCTGTGTTTGTTGAAATATATAAGATGGGAATGGGAGTAATGAATGCACTGATATGCACTCATGTTATTAGTCGATTTTCTCTGATATTTAAGATTTCAGTGCTATTATAAATTTAAAATAAATGAGACGTTAGGCAAAAGATTTCTGAAGTTTCCCTGTGTATATATGCTCAGTATTCGGAAGGAGTTTGTAAAAAATGATGATCAAGCATGATGATATGTCACTATCAGTGTAAATGGTTATTGTACTGATGCCTCTCTGTTAAACAGGTCAAGCTGTTTCTGTTGGAGGAATCTCCTTCACAAGTTGGGTTGAGTGCTCAGGATCACCTCCAAGCAAAGGCATCATGGCTGTCACATTCATCTGGCACAGGCTCGGATGACATTCTGCCCCCTGGATTTGAGGGAGCGTATTCGGGAAATCAGCTGCAGATTAACGTGTCTCAAATTCCCCTAATCAAATGGAGAAGCCCTCCTAGGGTAAATTAATCTTTTGGTTTAGATTTTAATCTTGACTAATTTACGTTGGGCTGAACTTATGGCATTGAAGATTCAGTTTGAAATTTTGGTGCATAAAATTTTGTTTTCAATAATGCTAAATTTTCACAGGTTGTGCTGAACTTCACTTGGCAAGTGGTTTGTGGGGAAGAAAGCAAAGAGGTGGAGATTCAAAATCAGAGAGAGATAAGAGTACTGGAAGCAGTTTATCCACGCCCATCTGCCATTCCTCTAAAGTTCGACACTTACTTTGCTTTCTACAACTTTGCTCTTGGGTTTCACCCACTCCTGAACTGAACATTTTTACCCTTTTCTCCATACAGC